CTATTCTTCTTTTGTTTATTGTTTTGTTTTATGGATCCGAACTTTAAGCTGTAAATACTGCAAACTCTATGCGAATGTTGGGAACTTGTAGACATACAGTGCTGATCTTAATGAGTATTTTTTAACCCCGTAGAAAGAGGTCATGATCCTGGCTTTACAGTATGTCCTAATCATTTGTAAGAAAATTGGTTGATTCTGACCATTTTCCGCTATAAGATCTCATGTGATAGTTCATTTCCCTATATTAGCAAGAAACTCTTTCACATTATGGAGCAGCCCTTTTTTTTGTTAGTTTTATATGATATGAATTTCCAGCGTCTTAAGATTTGAGTATCCCGAAAATTAGCTGTGAGAACTTATAACTTAAAAACTTGAAATTAATAATAATTCTACAAGAATGTTATTCCATCATACATGTTTGACTATAGCACAAAATCACAAACTTATGATTCTGCTTTCAGGTAACTGAGATGCTGAGACATACGTCTGTTGTGCAAGTTGCTAAGCTTTTAAGCAACCTCCGTAGTCACGGTATGCCAATTATTTTCCTTCCAATTCAACAAAGAGATAATCTCCATTTCCTAATAATTTGGTATTTTTTGTATCTTTCGCTTTCATATGTCAAGCTGCTCGTTCACATTGGAGCATAGTCTTACGCAGAAAATTTTGGGTTGATGAGAAAAGCAGAGATGAAGTATTCAAGAGACATATCATTTACTTAAAATGGAATCTATGCCCAGTGGGTTTTGCTTGGTAGTGTAATCTAGGATCCTGTCCATTTTTATAGTTTCAGGATTTGTTGATGTTTTTGAAGGACTATATTCATAATGCCATTTCAAACTTAAATAAGATTGGCTGGCATTGAACAGATACCTTTTCTTTTATCTTTGGCCTTGTATATTTCCTTTACACTGATCCTCATATTGAACTTGTTATTTGTGGGTAACAGACGAAGTCTCTAGCTTGTTTTGGTTATTAAATTCGGATCTGCACGAGAGCCGGACTGTGGCAGCTCTTGAGTATCTGTCCTCTATGAAGGCTACTACACAACAAATGGTTCGGCTAGTTGATGGACATAAAGGGAACTCTCAGAATATTTCTACAATGGAACATGATTTGAGAAAAGGAAAGTTGTCTGTTCACGTGAAACGTAGAAATGGGCGAGTTCGGATGATGGTAAAAGTTGGCTCTTTCTTTCTTTCTTTTTTGAACATTGAAAATCGTCTCTTTCTCTTATATCAAATCCCCAAATATTCCTGCATATGGTTGATATGCCTATATTTTTATTATCTTGTACAGTTTGCTCTTTGGAGTCTCCTGAGAAAAATGATCCCTGATGTTGTCAATATTTTTCTTTTCTTTTAAATAGTTCGAAGAGCTTTCTGTCGAGAATTCCAGCATCAAGTTCACTTCTATTTCCTCTGAAGACGAAATAACTGCTCAGAGCCTTGTTCCCAAGGTAGGTCAATTTTTTCTTTGCATTCAGAAACTCATGACATGGTTTTCTTGTCAGGATATACAATGCATTTGTGTTGCCGTCCAATGCTATTGTTCACGTCACATTTTATTACATGTGCTAAAACGTAAACGCCAATGCATTAGTGCTTTTGTTTCTGGCAAGCAAGTAAAATGGAAGTCAATACGTGATGGATCATTACTGTACATCCAAAAAATGGATGTTCGTTTGCCAGGTCCAGTTCAGTCTACAGTTGTCTGAAAAGGAGAGAAATGATCGGGCAAAAGTTGTTCTACCGTTTGAGCACCAGGGTATTTATGCATTTTTTAATTTGTAACTGTTATTACTGCAAAGTTAAAGTATCTTTTATTGTTTATCTAATTTTCTTCCAAGCATTATGCATTACATTGAAAATTTGTGCCCAGGAGGAGATGGCAGAAGCATTCAAATCTACGATGGCCGAAAATCTCGCAATAGCGATAAAGACGACAGTCAGCCCACTTCTCATAAAAACTCGAACACTAGCAGGGGTGAAATTGTCTATTTCCGTGATTCAGATGATGATATGCCTGATTCTGATGAGGACCCTGATGATGATTTGGACATTTGACAACGGTTTCGATCTTATTTAATGTTTAAACGTTCTTCCTCAGTTTTTTGTGCAATTAGATGATCTGTAGGTACTAGATTATTACTAGATTACAAGAAGACAATGTAATATTCGAATAGACCCTACATTTGTGCATGTGTCATCTCATGTCTATCCAGTAGGTTAATTTTGTTTGTGAATCTATTTTTTTTTTTTTTTTTTTTTT